GAGAAATCCTCAAGCAGACAACCCACTGAGCTCGGAGCCCGTGGTGGGGTTGGATCCTAGGACACTGAGATCATGACCTAGGCTGAAATCAAGAGTCAGACGCTTAATCAACTGAGCCACGCAGGCACCCCAGCCAGTCTCCTGCTAATGGACAGACATTCTATCGTTTCCAGCCTTTTGCAATTATAAAGTGTTTTGGTCAATATCCGTGTATGTAACATATATGTACATATGAGAGTTTATGGGATTAAATTTCTATAAGTGAAATTGTTAAGTGAAAGGAAATGTCACTTTCAAATTAGACAGGCATTTTTAAGTTGTCCTCCAAAGAGTTTGGATCAATATATAATGCTACCTGTTTGCTCCATGTAGCTGAACAACATACTACCCAATGTTTTTCTCTCTTTTCATATTATCCAATGTTTTCCCCAACTGACTGGTGTAGCTTTAATTTGTGTATCTTTTATTCAGAGAATTTGTATTTTTAAACACGTTTTAAGATGCATTTGCACTTACTGGTTTTTTTTAATTGATAAACTCTCTGTATATGCCCATTTTCTTTTGGACTGGGATTCTCTGTCACATGGATTTATAGAAGTTTATATACAAATACATGCACTTTTCTCATTTAAGATAAGGCTGACTTGTGAAACACAGAAATAACGTGATTCAGGGTCTGCAACTAGGTATGGTTCTCTGTATGAGCAAATTCACAGATCACACCATAATTTATGCTTAGAGCACATGTCTGGATTTCTCAATTTGGAAAATAGGGCCATTAAAAAGCATTTTGAAGTTATTTACAAAACTCTGCAATCCATTATGGCATTATATATTTGTAGAGTAAATTAAGGTGACTTTAAAACCTTTTATAGTTTATAAAACTATAAAAATTATAAAACTGTAAAATTAGGGCGACTTAAAATATTTTTATAGTTTATAAAACTATAAAAGTAATAAATACATACTCCTCTGTTTAAAAAGTCCCATATACACAAGTGTATAAACAAAAAGAACAAGTTCTCTCCTGTCTTACAAAGGAGGAACCACTTTTAACAGCTCCGTGTGTATCTCTCCTGACTTCTTTCTGTACACGGACTATACATAGATATTTAAATAATTTTTCCCCAGAGAAGTAGAGGCAGCATACTATTCCCAACCTTGCTTTTTTTTTTTTTTCCAGGTAAGGATTAATCCTGGGTGCCAAGAAGGGTAACCTCTGCAACTCCTTTTTTTAACTCCAGAAGCTGACAGTACCTTACCGCAACCCGGAGCTGATCTCGGCTTTTTTGGGGAATCATCTAGTGGGCTACACCGGAGGGGGTCTTTGGAGAGCCTGGGTAGCCCCACTGTGTGCAGCTCGCTTCTCCTGTTAATTCAGTGTCTGTTTTACCCACAGTGCAGAGAGGCTCAGACTTGGGGGGAAATGGAGTAATAACCACAAAGAAAGAGGACTAAAGTTGAAGCCTTCATGAGCCGGTCCCTAAAATCTCTTTCTTTGATTTTCAAAAGATTTCATTTCTCTCCTCGTTTAAGGGTTTGCCTGTTTGTTTGTGCTTAAAGATGCGCCTAGGGGCGCCTGGGTGGCTCAGTGGGTTAGAGCCTCTGCCTTCTGCTCAGGTCATGGTCCCATGGGATTGAGCCCCACGTGGGGCTCTCTGCTCAGCGGGGAGCCTGCTTCCTCCTCTCTCTCTGCCTGCCTCTCTGCCTACTTGTGATCTCTCTCTGTCAAATAAATAAATAAAATCTTAAAAAAAAAAAAAAAAAGATGCACCTTGAGGCTGATTCTTGGAATCACCAGGCAGAAGAAATGGGGTCAAAGATGTAGGTGCGTGGGAGAGTGGGGGGAAGGGTACCCCATCTCCTGGGCTGTGGGGTTGTCGGATCTACATGCTGAAGTCGCTGCTGCCTTCCATGTGAGCCCACAGGGACGAAGGTCCGATCTCCCAGGTGGATCTGATGTCTGCTCATGCCCCAAGGATGATGCCTTGCCCTCCTGGGGCGCCCTCCCCACAGTGACGTGCAGACAGAGGGTGCTCAGGAGCCAAGGTGCAGGGGTGATGGAGGGCTGAGCATTTGTACTACACAAAGGAGCCCAGTCCAGGAGGCCCCCATGCACCGAGCCTTGTGTCCTGGCTGAGCTGCATCTCTCCAGAGAAAGGGGCCCTTTTCCCTCCTGGCAAAGGTACTTTCTGCTTGGCCAAGCCCCTGGGGGGCCACATCTGCCTGAGGGGCTTCTGGCCCTGTGCAGACTCTCCAGGCCTTGACAGTCTTGCCTGGCAAGCCTTCAAGAAGCTCTATATGGGTCTGCCCTGAGGGGAGCCCTCACTTAGGTCTTCCCAAGCATCTTTGGGGACCCCTGCTGCCCTCCTACTCTTGGTAAGGAACCGAGTTCTGGGAGGGGTGGCCGGGTAGCAGTTTTCTTGAATAGAATCCATTCTGTGTTCATTGGACAAATATTTGAGGCTCTCCCATATGCCAAGACCTGTTCTAGCTCTGGAAATAGGCAGAACAGGACAGACAAGGTCCTGTCTTTGTGGAGCAGGCATTCTAGTGAGGGGGGAGGGGAGCCAGACGGGGCACAAGTAAAATAAGTAAACAAGACCATTTTCCAGAGAGTCAGCAGAGGAAACAAGAACACACAGTGGCCTCAGGAGGGACGGGAGGGACGGGGGAGGGTTGGCTCGTGTGCCACTTGTACCTCAGAGGAATCTCTTGGAGAAGGTGAGACACGGATGACAGGAGAGGAGTGGCTCCAACATCAGGGAGCAAAGTGCAATGCCCAGAGGCTGGGAGATGCTCAACTTGGCAAACAGGGTAGTGGGGAGCCAGGAGGAGTATGGAGCATAAGGAGAGGAGGAGAGAGCCAATTTCTGCAGGAGCTCGGGGCTAGGTTGAGACATTCATTGCTGTCTTGTCCCACATTCGGTGGGAGGGCACAGGGGTTGGATGAGGTGAGTGACACAAACCAAGTGCCTGTCTAATGGGGCACTTGGGCTGCTTTGGGAGAGGTGGGAGAGCTGGAGGTCAAGGAGGCAGGGAGGGCAGCAGAGAGACCAGTTACGGGCTACCACTGTGGGACCAGTGTGGAGGTGGGAGCCAGGATAATCGGAGGGAGGCAGAGACAAGGGGCAAACTGGGGATGCGGGTTGAAGCCTTGTGCTGGGAATCTACTCCCACTCAACAAAGGACCTTTCCAGTGGGCGATGGCACAAGGGGTGGGCAGAGAAGGGGATTGTTGGCTCTCCCAGCACCACCATGTCCCGGAGATTCAAATTCTAATATACTTTTTTTTTTTTTATTTATTTGACAGACAGAGATCACAAGTAGGCAGAGAGGCAGGCAGAGAGAGAGGAGGAAGCAGGCTCCCCACGGAGCAGAGAGCCTGACTCGGGGCTTGAACCCAGGACCCTGGGATCATGACCCGAGCCGAAGGCAGAGGCTTTAACCCACTGAACCACCCAGGCGCCCCCCGAGAGATTCAAATTCTAAATGTAAACCTGGCCTTCTAGGACATGACAGAGATGTATTTGTCAAGGCAGAAAGGTAGAACATATTGGATCTAAGAATTTGTTCATCTGACTGATAAGTTTTAGTGTTTAAACAGATGGTATGTGGGCTACCATTCGATTTCTTGTCCCGGATCCCACAAAAATGTGGAGTGGGCCTGCCCACCTCACCCACTGTTTGCTTTCTGGAGTGTTCTCTGAATGTGGGTGGGGAGTTCTGGGGTCCATCATCTACCAAGGGCGTTTTCTAACAAAATAGAATACGAGACTTTCCCCCTAATTTGCTAAATAAACATTAAGGCAATGGATAGAATTCTCTGAATTTTAAATTTTTTTAAAGATTTTATTTATTATTTGTCAGAGAGAGAGAGAGAGGGCACAAGCAGAGGGAGGGCACAAGCAAACTGCAGGCAGAGGGAGAAGCAGGCTCCCAGCTGAGCAGGGAACCTGATGTGGGACTCGATCCCAGGACCCTGGGATCATGACCTGAGCCGAAGGCGGCCACTTAATCGACTGAGCCACCCAGGCATCCCTGAATTTTAAATTTCAGCTCAGTTTTCTCTTTCTAAAATTTATGGTGCCTGCTACTGTTATCTGCTAGCAGTTGCAAGCAGATGAGATAAACAAACAAGGAGGGGAAAAAACATACACACATCACAGTCAAAGAAAATTAAGAGAAAACTGGAAACCAGCTGATTCTCATGAACCTGACAGCATAGGTCTTCTACAGATCAGAATCCTCCCGGTTACGATTTCACCTGGTATACGTATAATCTAGTTACAATTCCTAACAGCTCCATAATTTCTAGCTCCTGCTGATGCAGTCAGTTATGCCTCGTGTGACTTCTGTGTGCTTTGCCCTAGAACAAGCTGAGAAATGCATGCGTGCACAGAAGTAAGACAGAGGCTCAGAGATATTCAACTTGCCCAAGGTCTTCCAGCTAGGAAGTGGGGAGGGAGGGATTGTAACAGGTCTGAAGGATCCCGCATATCACCAGGCCTCCTGCTGGGACGGGGTGTATATAATCTAATAAGGGATAAAAATGGTTTCTCCAAGTGCCCAGAGACTGTTGGTAAGAACACTAGACTCTTGCTTGACTGTCCCTTGAGTTCATACACTGTATCTGCCAATATCTAAAACATAAAACGAATAAGTGTAAAACTCATTCACCAGTGCATTTGTCCATAAAGTATCCATAGAGTAAATTGCGCTGTGTTTTGCATGTCTACATTTTATTCTTTTTTTATTTTATTTTATTTATTTATTTGACAGAGAGAGATCACAAGTGGATGGAGAGGCAGGCAGAGAGAGAGAGAGAGAGGGAAGCAGGCTCCCTGCTGAGCAGAGAGCCCCATGCGGGACTCGATCCCAGGACCCTGAGATCGAGCCCCATGCGGGACTTGATCCCAGGACCCTGAGATCATGACCTGAGCTGAAGGCAGCGGCTTAACCCACTGAGCCACCCAGGCGCCCGCGTGTCTACATTTTAGGAGGATCTTTGGGGGTATTTTACTGAATCTCTGTGTTAGACATATTGTATGAGATACTCATGGCCCCTAGTCAGAGCACAAATTGTCCTGGAAAGTGTAGTTCTTGTCTTTTGTCTTATCTTCATTAGGCCTCATAATTATCTTAATTAGTCCTGCTTCCAGTGACCGATCTTACATCCATTAAGCTGTTGATAAAAGAATCAGAAGGGTTGGGTTCCAGTCTCGCTCTTCAGAATGTGATTAAGTTTCACACTTACATATGAATTCTTTTGTGTGTGTTACATTAGGAAGCTTGACTCAGTCAACCCAAAACTTCCCAGGGCTCTGTTTGTCTTCTCAGAATGGTCAGCATTGTGAATGACCCTGGACTCGGGCTCCATCCCAGAGCACCCATCACTCAGCACCACAATATGTGGAGGGGAGGGCTGTCCTCACCCCACCCAACCTTCTGTCCCCCAGCTCCAAAGAGCCTCCCTCCTCTTCTGCGCTCACTGGAGCACAGTTCACACCTATGAAATGCAGTTTCACCTCTGTTGCTGATTTTCTCCCTTGTACAAAGGACAGCCAGGGACAGAGCCTCTTCTCTCCTCTGGCCCCTGTGAGGGCGGAAGTCAGGCGGGGTGAGCCTGTGGCATGTCTGATTGGGGCTGGGTCCCTGTCCCCTCGGCCTCCCTGCTGAGGGCATCCATGCCAAAGCACACTGGAGAGTTCTCCTTCGGGTTTCTCCTTAGGAACTGCCCAGTGTCATCGATTACGACAAAAAAGAATAGTAAAGGTGGTCGGAGATTTCCATGCAGCTCTTATTACTGGTTCTGTCTCGATTCCACACGAGCCATGCAGCCATCTCCCGCCCGAGTGATTCCAGCCAAGCTCTGACTGCACACACGTCCTATCAGGCCACAAACCCCTGCCCCCCATGGGCACCTCCCATGGAAAGCGACTCCACCCACCCCGGGGTCTCACCCAGGAGCTGTAGCCAGGTCTTGTCAGGGCTCGGAGAGCTCCAAGACTCCTGCTCCAGGCTCCTGGACGCTCCCACAGCTCAGCCCCACAGACCCACCCAGAGACCACGACTGGCTTTCTCCTGTCCCCACGTGTTCTCTTGCAACAGGGAAAACTAGAATACGGCCCGGTAGATCCTGAAAGCCATTCCTGGGCGACTGTCCTCTTCTCCAGAGCCACAAAGCAGACAGGTAGGTATCCCTGAGGGGTTTTTGGAGCAGCCACTCTATTTTCCCCGCATTGCATATGTTGGCAAATGGTAGCCCCAGCCAGAAGCCAGGCTTTCAGCTCCTACCCAGACTCGAAGTCCTGACATTCAAATCCATCATTTCCTCCACCCTCCTCCCAGGGCCTCCGGCCTCAGATCTCCATTGTTTTTCCTGTGGTCCACCCTCCGGTCTCTAGCTCCTACCACAGTCTCCTTTCAGGAGTCCAAAGTGGATCACAGTGCTCACCTGCTAAGAGCTGAACAGCAAAAGCTTTTGAGATAGGCTCTGTCCTTACCAGAAGCGGCCTTGGCCGTGAACCCAGCCCTGTCTGTGGATCCAGCCTTATCTAGGCCCCTCCCTAACAATCCCTGCACTCCGGCCCGCCACACATCTTGTCCTTTGTCACCAGAGCATGCCATGCACTCGCAGCCTCTCCACCTTTGCACCTGCCATCCTGTCTGCCCATCCTTCCAGCAAATCCCTGCTCATCCTTCAAGGTGCAGCTCAAAGGTCTACTTCTGCATAAAGCCCTCTATAACCACCTGTCTTAGCTCGGGCTGCCATCCCCAAATACCACAGACAGGGGGGGTTTTAACAACAGACATTGATTTTTCTCACAGTTCTGGAAGCTGGAAGTCTGAGATCGGGGTGCTGGCATGGTCAGGTTCTGGTGGGAGCTCTGTTCCTGGCTTGTACATTCTGCCTTCTCTCTGCGCTCACATGGCAGAGGGAGGAAGGGAGGCGGGGGGGGGGGGTGCAAAGAGAGAGAGAAATAGCTCCTTCTTTTCCTCTTCTTATAGGGCCATGACTCCTATCAGATTAGGACCCCAACCTTATGATATCCTAAAAACCGCATCACAGAATACAGTCATATTGGGGGTTAGGGTTTTATCCTACGAATTTGTGTGGGGGGGGACAGTTTAGCCCAGGGTAACTCCCCAGACAAAAGTAGTTGCTGCCTCCCCGCAGAGACCCATATTCACCAGGGGAGGGTGTCCCTTTCTTAGAGCACCCGAGCCCTCATCCCCATTTGTGTCTCCCAAACCGAAGGACCAAGTGCTCCTGCCCCGTCCCATCCCCTGTTCTTTTGGGGTCGCCTACTCTGTGGGAAGGCCACTGTCTCATAGCACTTTGTGTGCTGACCTGTCTCCCCAGCTGCACCTAGAACTCTGAGAGGGCAGGGCCGCCTCTGTCTTCTCTGGGCACTGAGCTGGCAGGGGGAGAATTCTGGTTCCACTGTGGGTGGACCGGGGGTACTGGGAGTGGGCCCCACTTGGTACCTCTGCCCCCCCCAACCACACTCCCTTATTATAGAGCCCTTATTCCTCCCCAGTGCAGAGAGCATCTGCGGTGTCCTCCTGTCCTAAAAGGGGACATTCCTGCTGCCTATCCTGGCGACAGCAGCCCTAGGAGGCAGACCAGGTGTGCATCTGAGGCACAGGACACCTTCCAGAGCCTGTGCTTTCCTACTACCCTGTGACGGGCCATGTTTCTGATCGCAGAAAAAAAAAAAAAAGAAGAAGGAGAAGGAGAAGGAGAAGGAGAAGGAGAAGGAGAAGGAGAAGGAGAAGGAGAAGGAGAAGAAGAAGAAGAAGAAGAAGAAGAAGAAGAAGAAGAAGAAGAAGAAGAAGGAGGAGGAGAAAAGAAAATTACGCTGAGCGTTTTTGGGTTTCTCTCCAGGTCCCCCCACAGGGGCATGGTGTAGAAGTGGGTCCTGCCTCTGGCCCAGAGAGCGGATCCGGGAGCACAAAGGTTATTTATTTAATATATTTACTTTTACTCCCAGGCCAAAAGCTTAAAATACACTGCGTATGAGCTCTGGACCAAAAAAATAAAAAATAAAAAAATGAAGCAGTTGGGCCATTAATCATTGGGAATATGTTGAATAGGAACTTGATTAAAGCACAGTATGTGTTCGCCAGACGAAGCTACTTCTTTACAGTGACCACAGTGGAAGCCTGGCCTCCCGGGGCCTGCTGCGCTTTTGCGGGGCCCCTCCTCGAGGGCTCCTGGGCGGGCTCTGGCGTCTTGCCAGGCTTAGGAAGGCCGTCGGCAGGGAGGGGGTCTTGACCTGCGCAGCCCGGCTTTTCTCAAACAGGCACACCTCCAACCCGCACCGAGGCGGTGTCCGGCTCCAGCTCACAAAGTCGTAAGGGGTGGTGGGAGGGGTAGAGGCGGGGCGACCTGCCGACCCCGGAGGCCCCACGGGAGCCGGGCGGCGCCCCCCGCCCCCGCCCGCGATCCCGGGATAGAACCGCGAGGCGCCACGTGGCTGGGGAGACGCTCTGCCTTAAACCCATTCCCCCAGCAGCAGTGAATGCGGAGGCGGCGGCCAAGGGGCACCCGGGCCTGGCCACCTTGCTCATCAAGATCGCGGGAACCAAGCACCCCGCGAAGCAACGGCAGGGTCTCCCAGTAGGTGCTCGGATTCTGGGAGGCCGAGATTCCCGAGGCCCCGGTTCCCTCCGCACCCCTCTCCCACCAGAAGGGGGGTGGACAGTGGATCCCGATCCCGTTGACCGCCAACCCCCGCTTTGGGATCGCTGTCCCGAGTCAATTTCGCCCTCTCCCTCTATGAGCCCCATCTCACCCCGGTACTCTAGCCCTGGAATCCAGCTCGGCCCGTCCCGCCAGGAAGAAACTGGCGGCCCAGGGGCGGGTGGCAGCGCCAGCCCCGCGCGCCTAGCAACCCTAGCGCCCCGGCTAGGAGAAGTAATTAAAAAGAAAAAGTTTTCCAGCCCAAGCGGAGGAACCGGCCGGGTCCTCCTGGATCCCCGGCCGCAGCCGCCTCCCAATTCCCTCCGCTCCCCGCGGGGTCCTAGCGCCCGGCAGTGCAGAGCCCGTGGGACCCCAGAGGGCTGGGAGAGGCGGAGCGGGAGAGATATACTTCTTCGAGGAATCTGTGGGGTCCCCTGCAGATCAGAGATAAAGAAGCAAAATCACCCGCGCTCCGGGACGCTTCCCTCGGCCTCCCTGTGCCGCGTCCCAAACTGTTCCCTACCTCCCACCCCCGGCTCCGGCCCCTTCTCCACGCCGCCGCCTAGCAGAGACGCAGGTTCCGAACCGAACTAGTTCTAGAGCCTCCGTAGCTCAGAGACCAAGACTGGCCCTCCACCTACCCCCCCCCCGCCACGCCCCCCCCAGCCCCGCCACGCCCCGCGAAGCGTCTGGGTGCTCCCGGACTCCCCGACCGTTGGCTGGAAGTGGGTGCCTCGGGGAAGCTAGAGGAGGGGGCCCAGTCACCGACCACGTGTGTGCGGGGGCGACAGCTCGGCCCAGGGTGGGGCATCGCTCGCGCCTCCGGGTCCGGCTGGCGGGGCAGGGGGTTAGTGGGCGTTGCGGCGGGGCCTCTCTGGGCCAGCGCTGCGCTCCGGCCCCACTCACCACCCCCTCCGAGAGGCAGGCGCTAAGACCCAGAAGGCGCCGCTCCGCCGTCGGACTCTAAAGGGCGACGCCCCCGGTATAAATGCGGGGCCCGCGCGGGCCTGGCCATTCGCGACCGGGAGCTGCGCGGGCGCGAGGGAGTCGGGGCTCCGGGTGGGCGGTGGCAGCATTGGCGCCCCGCGCAGGCTGGAGGCCGCCGAGGCTCGCCATGCCGGGAGGACTGTAGCTCCCCCATGGAGTCGGCCGACTTCTACGAGGCGGAGCCGCGGCCCCCGATGAGCAGCCACCTCCAGAGTCCCCCGCACGCGCCCAGCAGCGCCGCCTTTGGCTTTCCCCGGGGCGCGGGCTCCGCGCAACCCCCCGCCCCACCTGCCGCCCCGGAGACGCTGGGCGGCATCTGCGAACACGAGACGTCCATCGACATCAGCGCCTACATCGACCCGGCCGCTTTCAACGACGAGTTCCTGGCCGACCTGTTCCAGCACAGCCGGCAGCAGGAGAAGGCCAAGGCGGCCGCGGCCCCCGCAGGAGCCGCCGGCGGCGACTTTGACTACACGGGCGCCCCCGGGGGCCCCGGCGGCTCCGTGATGCCGGGAGGGGCGCACGGCCCCCCTCCTGGCTACGGCTGCGCGGCGGCCGGCTACCTGGACGGCAGGCTGGAGCCCCTGTACGAGCGCGTCGGGGCGCCGGCGCTGCGGCCGCTGGTGATCAAGCAGGAGCCGCGCGAGGAGGACGAGGCGAAGCAGCTGGCGCTGGCCGGCCTCTTCCCCTACCAGCCGCCGCCTCCGCCGCCGCCGCCGCACCCGCACCCACCGCCCGCGCACCTGGCCGCCCCGCACCTGCAGTTCCAGATCGCGCACTGCGGCCAGACCACCATGCACCTGCAGCCCGGCCACCCCACGCCGCCGCCCACGCCCGTGCCCAGCCCTCATCCGGCGCCGGCTCTCGGCCCCGCTGGCTTGCCAGGCCCGGGCGGCGCGCTCAAGGGGCTGGCCGCGACGCACCCCGACCTCCGCGCGGGCGGCGGCGGCAGCGCGGGCAAAGTCAAGAAGTCGGTGGACAAGAACAGCAACGAATACCGGGTGCGGCGCGAGCGCAACAACATCGCCGTGCGCAAGAGCCGGGACAAGGCCAAGCAGCGCAACGTGGAGACACAGCAGAAGGTGCTGGAGCTGACCAGTGACAATGACCGCCTGCGCAAGCGGGTGGAACAACTGAGCCGCGAACTGGACACGCTGCGGGGTATCTTCCGCCAGCTGCCCGAGAGCTCCCTGGTCAAGGCCATGGGCAACTGCGCGTGAGGCGCGGGGCGGCGGGACCGCCCTGGGCCGGCCGCTGGCTGTGACCCAGGGAGTGGTTTCGGGTCTCCGGATCTCAAGACTGGCCCCGCGGCGCAAGCCGGGACTAGGAGATTCCGGTGCCGCCAGAAAGCCTGGCCTGCAGCGCGCGCCCCTTGCCTTCCTCTGCGCCAGATTCCGTGCGTCTAAGAGAAGGGTCAGGCGGTGGTTTCTCCCTGCAGGAGGGGAGAAGTGCCATGGGGCTGAGCCGGAAGCCCCGGCAACTCTAGTATTAAGGAATAACCTTGTGCCTTGGAAACGCAAACTCACCGCTCCGATTCCTACCGAGTAGGGGGAGCAAATATGTGCCTTGTCATTTTATTTGGAGGGTTCCTGCCTCAATCGTGAGGCTGCAGGGCCCCAGGAGAGAAGGCAGTGTGCAGGCCCAGGGCAGGAAGGAAGGTCCAGGGAGCAGAGATCGTGACAAGCCGGCCCTAGCCGCTCCTCCAGCGCCTGTCCTTGGAAGGGAGGAAATACAGGGACTTGGAAGGCTGTTTCCCTAGTTCTGCACGAAGGTGGAGGGTGCCTAGTTCCTTGCCTCTAATTTCCCAGCCTACAACAGGCTGGGCTTCCCTGGGCAGAACTCACTTAGATGGGGGTCACCGGGTGACCCGTGGGAGCCCCCTGCCCCCAGTCAGACCAGAAAGCTAGGACATGGGTTACCTCTCCGGACATGTGTTCATGGGAGTGGCGTCCTGGTGGCGCAGGGAAACCTAGAGCTCTGGTCCGGGGAGGGGGTGGGGGCTGGGGTGAAGGGACCCTGGGACAAGGCGCCTTGTCCTGTGTGTTGCCAGCATTGCCATGCAAACACGGAGCACAATCTGCCCATCCCAGAGGGACCGAAGTTATGAGAAGCTTTCCAAATATTTTGCTTTATCAGCCGATATCAACACTTGTATCTGGCCTCTCTGGGTCCCAGCGGTGCCTTGTGCAATGTCAATGCGCACGTCTATGCTAAACCACCATTTTATTTGGTTTTTGTTTTGTTTTGGTTTTGCTCAGATACTTGCCAAAATGAGACTCTTTGTCAACAGCTGCTGCAAGGGGGGTCCTCGGCTCTCTTTCCTTTTGGTTTTGGGGGATTGCTTTTGCCCCCCGGGGGAACCAAAGAGGTGAGGTGGGCTTCCTCTTTCCCTGGGGGGAGGGGACCTGTGGGCCTCGGTGCCCTCTGGCCTGGGCCGCCCACAGGCCCGTCCCTGCAGAGGCCCTGGCTCCTGGTCTGGAAGGGAGGCGGCCTCCAGCCAGATCGCCGGGGCCGGGAGCAGGGAAGGACAGCTTGGTTCTCTTCTTTGGGGGAGAACGTAGAGTTTCATGCTAGATGTTTTATGTATTATATCTATAATATAAACATATCAAAGTAAATTTTGGTGTCTTTTTAAAACCAGAAAAGCTACTTCCAAGGTTTTCTGTGGGCCAGGTCACATTTGTAAGTAATCACAGCATATCCCCTGGCTGAGCTCCTGACTTTCATTGGCCCTCCCATCCTGAGCCCCTCTGTACATTAAGGGGGTGACTTCTCCCAACCAAGGCAACTAAATGGCAGAAGGAAGGCAGGCTCCCAGCTGAGAAAGCCCAAAGCCGGAAGAGAGAGTCTCCCAGGGGTTGGGGGGGCACGTTTGAGGGGGGTTCACAGGGCCTTGGTGTGGCCTCCCCTGGGCCCCTGGGAGGAGCAGGGGGGGCTCAGAGAAGGATCCTCCTGCCTGACGTGGCCACGGGCTCTCTGGGACTTGAACAGGCCTGGTCCAGTGGCTCCAGGCTCCGGGGGCCCTTCGGCCATGTTTGCTTCTAGATCATTCACAGCTCCAGCCTCTGTAGCAGCCTTGCTCATACCTTTCCTGCCATCCCCACTGGCAGGACCCTGAAGGGCAGGGAGAGGCTTCAAGCGGGCGCCCCCCCCCCGCCCCTCCCCACTTGCTCTGGGCTGTGTGGCTGTAGCCTACCCCAGCAGGGCCCTGAAGGGCAGCCTGAAGGCCAAGCACCCCTCTGCCCCACTTTCCATTCCTTCTCCAGTCAACCCCGGGAAGTCCTTCACCCAGACCACCCGGCAAGGAGACAGCTCCTGCACCCACCCTCCCCACTGTGCCCACCCTGGACCAAGCCCCCCACTCAGACGACTGCCCTGTGAGGACAGGCGCCCCCGGTGCCCCCTTGGCAGCAACAATAGCCAACCAGAGGGGTACACGCTCACGCCTGATAAAACAAGGCCTGGCAGGAAGTAGCACAGGGGGGCTGGCTGGCCTTTCAGCGTTTACTGTCACTGAGGGTAAAAGGCGGACACTCTTCACCTTCTATTTTCACCCCCAGAGGACTCACTGGAGCAGCTTACGGTGTACGCCACTGTGGGCTGGGACAGTTTCAAGAAATTACACACTCCTTTTCAATTCCGACGGCTTTAAGTTTACCTGCCCAGTGTGGTTAACAGGGGTGCCTTGCCCCCTTCCCGCCCCGGCCCCCGCCCTCTCTGTCCTGTGTCTTGCCGCCTCCTCGCCTATGGCTGCTCTTGGCAGAGGAAAGGCCACGAGCCCAGTGTGGAGGCGGCTGCCTGCCCCACCGCCCTGGGAACCAAGGAGGCAGAGCCCCACCACCTGCCTAAGGCCTAGGGCAGGCCCTGGCTTGCTAGGCCCCAGCAAACCCTCTCTGAGTTCAGTGCTAATTCCAGTTTTTCTTGTTTGAGGGGGCCAAACCTCAGCCTCCCCCTTTGCCCCCAGAACGAATCCCAGGATGAGCAGGGGAGGGCCACCCCTCCGGCCTGCCCTCCTCCCTCTCCCCTCCTACTGCCTCTTCTCCCAGGGTTTCCTCTTTCAAAGCTGTCAGCCAACTAAGAGGCACCCCTCCTACTGTAGACCCTGAGATCCAGGGCAAACTTTGTTGGGGACAAGACAGATCTCACCAAAGCCAACCCCAGGGAAGGAATGAGGCCAGCAGGGCACCCCCGGGGACAGAGAAGCAGGCGGAGCGGAGGGGGCAGTGTGGGGTGAACCTGCCAGCCATGTGCTCTGTGCCTGGCCAGAGGGGCCTCCCGGGAAGAGCTGCTCCTAGCCACCCACTGCTTCCTGCAGGGCCCCCATGGTTCCCCTCCCGATTGCAGCCTTTGTGAAGAACCCCTCCAAAAGCCTGGCACTGAACACACCCCAAGTATTTATTGGATGCCTACTGTATGCCAGGGCCTGTGCTAAGGATGGGTCACTCAGCTGGAGATAAGCAGACTTGACTCCTACTCCCCGCAGCTCACAGTCTTGTGCTCCCAAAATGTGTTTTAAGGGTGACAAGTGCAGTAAAGGGAAGCTCGAAGTGTGACTAGATGCCATCAGGGAAGGCTTCCTGGAGGCAGCGGTCTGATCCAAGACACGGTCATGGACCCAGTCCAACATACCCGGATGCCTCTGCCTCATACTCTCTCGGGAGAGGTAGCAAGGACCTCACCCCCTCGGTGGGCCATCTGAGCCTGATGGCCCCTGAGAGCACTCTTCAGAGGAGCCAGGCTCCAGGGAAGAGGCAAAGGTAAAAGGGAGAGAGGGAGGTGTTCCTTTGCTGCCAGATGCCTCCTGATGGTTTAGCACTGTCATGGATGTCAGCCTTATCTCCTGGATCTCCTGGGAATTTGTGAATATGGGGTTTGGCCCTGACACCTGTGATGAGCCACTGGGACTGGTGAGGAGTGTCTGCCCCTCCCAGCTCTCCCGCCCCCTCCTTCCCAGGCAGGAACCTGCCAGGCCTCCTCCAGAAGCTGTTGATTTCATGGGAGGACAGGGGGCAGTGGGGAGAGAAAGGGAAGCCGGTGGAGGAAGAGCAGAAACCCTGACCTTGCCCATCCATGAGGCCTGTCCTTCCAGGCACCCACAGCCTTTCTGCAGACACAGGGTAGGGTCCTTGCCTGGACAGCGGCTCTGCCCCATCTGTCTAGTTCCTATACTGGCGGGTGGGGGAAGGCCTTTCTCTTCCTTAAATAGAACTAAACCACCAGCACCTTTGAAAGATCTTTCTTGTCTCCGTGCAAGATTATACAATCCCTCTTCTATCGACACCCACCCCCCCCAACATCTCCCCTCCCCCAGCCCCTCTCTGTGCGTGGAGCATTTGACGTAAGCAGGGACATAGGAAAGATACCAATTCACTATCAAAGCATCCTAGCCCCATCCCAGAGCAATTAAAAAGCCAGATGGAATCTCTGGGAAAACGGCATTAATAACGCAAACAATCTGTGCAGGCCGGCAGGGACCCAGGAGCTGCGGGCGGGGGCGGGTGGGGGGGGGTTGGTGGAGGCTGAGATGCAGGAGCGTGAGTTCGCAGCAACGCGTCAGCCACGTTGTGGCCGGCCGGGGATGGGGCCATCTCAGGGGTATGCCTAGATCTGGCCGCAGCTGGGCTCTCCCCTCCAGCCCTCTGCAAGGCCCGCTCTGCGTCCGGAATCCTGGTGGCTGCAGACAGAGCCAGACAAATGTGGAACCCATTACTCAGCCAGCCACAGCCTCCGCCAGCCCCATTCTGGCACCCAAGAGCTTTGCTTCCCTTCACTTTTGTTTTTATTTATTGTTTTTCTAGCCTTCTGGCCCCACCCACTGGGAACAGGACTCTCACACGATAGTTTCCAAAGATTCCCCCTTTTTCTTCATTCGCTGTGTCCAAGTCCACCCCATGCCCGACAACAGCAGAAGGTGATGTCGGGCACCCCATGGGGCCTGAACCCTAGAGATTCCCCTTTGATCGCAGAGTGGGTGGGCACTTAGGGCAAGAAGACCTGCCACGTTCCCAGAAGGAGGCGCAATTGCTAGGGGAGCAGGGCACCGGGGTTCACACTGCCTGACTGCCTTGGGGGGCCCCAGGGACTGGACAAAAACCACAGAAAAAGGATCTTCTGCTGTTCAGAAGCCCTTTCTAGGCAGAGCCAAGAAGTAGGACCCTTTTTTTTCCCTTTGGGTAATGGAAGTAGTCCTGTTTATTTTACTTCATTTAATTTAATTTATTTATTATTTTATTTTATTTTATTTTATTTTATTTTATTTTATTTTATTTTGTTTAATTTTATTTTACTTAAGACCCTTTCTTATCCCCATACTCCAGACCATGGCTGAGGGCCCACCTGAGCCCAGCTGAAAGATATATCGTTTTCTTCTAGCAATCAAGCTGGGATAGAAAATGGTGGTGGTGGTTGTTGTTGTTGTTTTTTAAACATCCTTTGTGGTTTTTAAGTACCCAGAGAGCCACTTTCTGACCTTCATCATCCCTGTCCCCACCCTCCACCTTCACCCTCACCCTCCCTGGAAACTTCTCCCCAAGGTCACCATGAATTCCTGCAGCCAAATGACATGAACTTGCCTGGGATCCTGCCTTTCTTGGCTTCCTGCTAAATTTGGCCCGCGTCTGGCCCACCGCAGGCCTTCAACACATGTGTCTGAATGCATGGATCTCTCTGCAGCTCCTCTCTCTCTCCTTGCTTAAGAAACAACCTCATCCCCTCCTTTCCACGCGAGGGTCCACTGGGTTGGCCTGTGGTCCACTCGAGGGACTCAGGGGACCTGGGTTCACCATTATGGGAGCAAGGAAAGGTCTAAGAAAGGTAACCTATCTGATTCTAGATAAGCCTCAACATCTCTGTGTGATTAGCTTAGCACCAGAAGCAGCAGCTATCGAGGCGCCAAGAGATGGTCAGTTCCATAGGGAGGGTGCAGAGGAGGAGGCGGGCTTTCCAGAAGGGAGGAGAGGGCTGGGGATGGGCAGTGCAGTATTCCCCAAGCTTGCAGAGCTCCTCAGACACATGGGCACCTGGGATCACGGCATTTCTGCTATAAAACTCTCAAAGGTTTCTTTGTGTTCTTCCTCTTGTCCCCACTCCAGGATGACTGGCAAAGTCAATATTGAGGGACCACGGCCTGAGGACAGGATCACTAGTGGCCTAACATGGTGGCCTAGGGCCAGAGCATGTCACCCAGTGACCCAGACAGGGCCTCAAGGGAGCCATCACAGCCTGTCCCAGGCCTTCTAGATCTGATACTTCTGCTCCTTGGCAAGTAGCCACCAACCTCTCACCAGAAAGAAAGCCTCTCCTCCCGAGCAGCCTTTGTCCCTTATCCTGCCCAGCCATGGAGGCCTCAGAGTACCCCCTTCCTCCCTCCCTCCCAAGCCAACCTGAGCACTCTTCCGCTGCCCCCCAGGAACCCCGGCCGGTGAGGAAACATGGCTGAAACATGGCAGCCCTGCCCTCCAGTCCGTTGGGCAATGGTGTCGGCTGGACGTGGGGCATAACCCCTGCCCAGAGAGCAAGCTGGTGTCAGAGGTGTCTGCCTGCCCCCAGAGAGGTGCTGTGACCTTCCACATCAGGTTCGGACCCGTCTGAAGTAGCCTCCTGGAGTGATTTACAATTT